GAGCCTGGTCCGGTGAGAACCCGGCGTGCTCCGTCCCGGCTTTGTAGGGATGTGTGGTCAACGGTCTATCGACTACGGCATGCACGACTATGAGTACCCCCCCCCCCTTTCCCCTCCTCCCGTTGACAGTTTTGAAGAGCGTAGTCGTACCGCCCCAAGAGTTCGCTGGAGAAGTATGAAAAGTGAATTAGGAGGTAGTGAAAGAGCTCGAGGCGGCCCAGATGAAAGCAGAGAAAACCATCTCATGATGCTCCAAGCGCACAGGCAATGCAGCCGTCAGGGCAGAACAGGGGATCCAATCCCTACGATCGGGAAGAGACGCAAGGAAGCTAAAATAGCATTACCGCATGCGCGATATGGTAGAGCAGAGGTTGCTGAGAATAGCTTGCGAGGCGAAGTGGGCAAACAAGAAGAGAGGTAGACCGCCCACGGAGTGAGTCAAGGCTGTAGATGACGTATGGAAGGAGTTCAAAATTGACGAAGGTGATACGCTGGAAACGGAGGGTCTAAAAGGTTCAAGGAGAAGGTATATGTTGTCTTTGCCGAGAGAGAAGGTAAGAATCTACCCAAAGCAACCAAGGACAAGGAGGGTCTAGATGTGTACGAAATGTTGATTGAAAGAAGGAATAGCCTTCAAGGAGTACCTACATAAATGGATGCAGGGGCAAAGCGAAGGTCAAACTTAGAACTTAGAATACGTTAGCCCTCGACAACGTAGAAGAAGATTTAGGAAGGTAGACAATGAATGACAAGTTCATGTGAATGTGGCTTCGAGTGCGAAGACCGGGTGCATGTAGTTGGGGAATGTCGGCTGTACAAAAAGGAGAGGGAAGTGTACCTTACTGGGCTGGTAAAAGCAGAAGGAAGATACACAGAGATGTTTGAGACTCTAATAGCCAGGAGAAGAAGGTAGCTGCACCGGAACATAGGAAGTGGGTTCAAAAGGCGGGAAGTGATATCAACAGGATACATGGGCTAAGGAAACATTTTGAGCCACCTTTAGCAAAGAAGGAAGGAACGATTGCCCATAGAACGAACGATTGGACATTGGCGATCGGTCCTGTGGGAACAATGCTCCGTTCGCTCGAGGACGCGTGATCAATGGTCTAACGGCTAAGGCATGCAAGCATAGGAGCATAGGAGTATGCTCCCCCCCTCCCCCCCCTCCTTCCCGTGCGTGCGCCATTCCTCTCTGGTTGTCCGTCTTGTCTGTCTCAGTCTCTCACCAGTTGATCGCAGACGCCACGATGAAGTATACGTAGCAGGCGACCGGCGCGACCCACCCGAACATGCTGACGAGGTACCACGTGTAGAATGCCACCAGCCCCGGCGCCACAAGCGTCTCGTGCAAGACCGTGGCGAACGCCGCGACGAGCGCCTCCGCGTCCGCCGTAACACGCTGGTCCGGGTTGTCGATGAGCATGGAGTCCCCGCCCGCGGCGACGCCGTCCCCGCCGCCCCTGGTGCCACCCCCGTCGACTCTGCCCGGCGCGCCAACATTGCCGAGAGAGACGAAGCGGGAGGAATGAGAGACAAGAGGCACCGATGCGTTGACGAAAACCGACAGGGGGGGGGAACCGCGCCAGTCGGGTGATGGGAGGATGGCAGTAGGCTAAGGCACTCTACGAAAACGCTCCGGACTGGAGTCTCTGACTTGTGCCTCGAGGTACGGAATGTGCGACGAGACGGGTGTGGAAAACCAGGGATATTTTTAAGGGAGTGGTAGCGTTCCCCGTTCCCGCCCCGAACCCCGAACCGTTGTATGCTTTGCTATCCCGGATCCGGCTTAGAGATCGGACATGTTCATTCAAGCGCGGCATCCCGCCGTGGAGGTACAAAGAGCGGAAGAAAAGCACAGCCGGCAGTTACACCGCTACGGACCAGGGGCGAAGGCCGCCGCCATCGATGTACGTCTTAAAAGGGAAAGAATGGGGATGTACTCGAAGAGGTACATGACAACAAGTTGCACAACTGGACGGGGTGCTGAAAGCAAGCAGCGTTCCATAACTGATCGCCAACAACAAATGTTTATCAACAAATAACAATTAAAGCTCACCCGAAAGAAGCCGCGCCGCGCTTATCCCGACCCGCCTCTCCCGTGGAAAGCACGTACGGCATCTTCCCCCGAAGGTACCAGGAGTGGAGGAAAAGGACCAGCCGCTGCCGCCAGACCAACGCGCACGCTTCCTTAGCCAGATCTCTCCCTGCCTTCAGAGCGGCGACCACGGTGACGACTAGCAGAGACCGCCACAGGACCTGCCAGAGCGAGAGAAGGTAGGCGGGAATCGGCGCGCGGAGGGGGGAGGAGGGAAGATGAACGAAAAGAGGGAAGGAGTGCGATTGGGAAGGTCATCTAGGACTAAGAGCAGAAAAACTACAGGGAGGCCGAGTGAGAGGGAGAGAGGGAGGGAGGGACGAATGAAAAAAGGACAGAGGGCGGGTTGCGCAGGGGTGAAAGGAACCAGATGAAACCCATCGCGAGCACTGCAACATGGAACCGCGGCCCCAGTGAAAACCGCGTGTGTAGGCGCGCGCGATGGGCGCGCTCCTGGTAGGAATTAATGCATTTCCCATTACCGGGGACGTCTTTCCCCGCAATACCCCCGCATGTTGGGTGTAAGAAAAGATTGAATACAGCAGCAAGTGATACGGCGTTGTCGAAACAGCGGTGGCCCTCGAGGAGGCGGAAAAAAGGTGCGCAAGCTCGCTAACACCCGGCCAACGCGGAGGAACATTTCCTTTACCCGGAGACCGCCGTGAATTATCTTCCTTCGAAAGCGTCGTCACAGATGCCGTGACGGCACTTCCCTCGCGCCTGACACCAACCGGCAGATATTCCGAAGGTGCTACATACAGGTAGACAGCGGTAGAACGAATTTTGCACCGAAAGTGCACTGCGGACGCTGCCCATTAGGAGGCGGGACCAAAAGGAAAGAAGCATAAGCACCGCAGTTGGGTAAAGAACGCGCCTAACGCTTCCATGCCCTCTCACTGGATGGTTCGAGTAGAAAACTCAGCAGCTCGATTGCTGCATATATGGGAAACTATGTGGAAGCCAGCCGACTTCTCTTTCCCGACGTGTGCACAGTGAAACACTCTAACGTACGTGGTATATAAGCAAGGTGTAGTCAAAGAGTTGCTCGATTTCTGCGTTACATGGGGACACAAAACATTGCGAGGCCAAAGCACAGCAGTGGGAGACCACACACCAATACACTACCCAACAACGCGTGGCTGTGAGCTGATGTCGGTGTTCTCTTCCAGCTGCTGTGGCATCTGCCGGACGGTCCAAGACACTGAGACGAAAAAACACCACATGTACACTGTTGGCTGCTGCTTATTTGTGGATTGTGAGGGTACAACGGGAAATATATTGGGGAAACCCGAGAGAACCGACAATATTTTGTGTTGGGGCGCGGACGAGGAGACAGATTGCTGAGCCACTCAAGGGCAAGCGTGTTGCGTAAGTCCACGGGGAGGGCCAGGACGTGCACAAAAACGGATCTGGATTAGTCTGTGGGTATCGCGCGGTACGTTTTTCAGGCGGAAGATCAAGCAACCTCCAGGGAGCTTCGAAAGTATTACCGTGTGTCTTTACGCAAAGCAGGATCGCATTTGTGTACACAAACTATCGGTAGCCGTGGTGGTCAACACGAGCGCACAAGGAGGCTTATTCTGTCGCGGTGTTACTCTCGGCAAGTCTGTAAACCGACCATGCCTCAGAAAACTCTGGAATTCTCCACCTCTCGCCTCCACTCCCCTGTTTCCTCTCCTACCATTGAAAAAGCGTTGCACTTGCCTGCACGAAAAGTTGGGCGTCCAAGGTGGATATGGCCAAGTAGAAGTCGCCGATGACGCTGAGGATACTCGCCGCGCAGACCTCGTACGCCGTGGCGGTGACGGTCAGGATGAGCGGAAACACCCACCGCCGCTCGACAAACAGGCCGCGCAGCAAGAACACCTTCACCAGCATGCCCAGGTCCGCAAAGAAGGAGCTCGGGCTGCACCATTGGCTTGCAGCGCTTGCGGCAGCAGCAGTGGTTTCTCCACCGCGGCGTGGATCGGTGCTTGCAGCAGCAGGAAGAGCGTCGCAACCGGGTATTGCGGCAGCACCGCTGTTCAACCATAACAGTCCCGTGCGCCGCCTTGCACCGTTGTAGAGTGCTTCGGCCGCGGCGGGCAGCAATAGGTTTTGGGTCTCGTCCTCCTCGTCCCCCCCCTCCTCCTCACTGCGCCCGAGGGACGAGGACAGGCGCAGTGGTGATCGCTCAGCGCCCATCATGCTGCGCATGCGGGTGGGATGCGCCTGCTGCAGTATCAGCTGCTGCTGCTGTGCCCTGTGAACGTCCGTGGTCTGCGGCGCAATTATTTAGAAAAGGCCTCCGAACAAGCTGATTGGCTGATTCCTGGGTCCACTACCACCAAAAAAAGGAAGGAGGCTTTCTGTACAACTTTAACTTTTGCAGACTTGAAACGTGTCTAGTCTTGAGTGATCCTGTGGGTGCATGTCTGGTGCATATGTGTGTGAGATCGAGACGGAGGGGTAGCGGCGACCGTCACGGATGAAAACAGGTCGGGAACCTGGTACGGTCATCTTGGCGGCCTTTTCATCACGGGGTTGATGGCAGCGAAGCAGCAGTTGCTGGCCGGTGCGGATATTATCCGGGCCGGTCGTCGCATCCTGTGGCAGGTACACTGCTGTAGCTGGTGTGCTAGTGTGCGCGTGTGCGAAGCACGGCAGTCATGTAGAATGAGATACTAGGTGTGTCCGTCTGACTGCAAATAAATATTTGCTCTCACAGAGCCACAAGGTACAACAAGCATGGTCTGTGCTGCTGTGACATACTACCTGCACCAACAGCTACTAGTAGACTACAGCAGCAGTATCACAGGTCTGCCTGGAGAAACTACACCACTACTCGAGAGCAGATTATATGTATTGTATGCTGGGTGGGATCTCTGTGTTTTAGCCAAGCAACAAGCGACATGTTTTGCATTGTGCAGCTATTCCGTCCCTCCTCCCTACCTCGCGGCACATCTGCTTTACCAACAACCTCCTTGGATTTTCGAAGACGAAGGCTTCACGTCGACCAAGCGAAAGGCAGCTACAACAGTACTGTCTGTTCATCAGGCTCCCACAAAGTCGCTCAACAGCTTCCTCGTCTAGTGGAGGTGATGCGAAATATCCTTTTCGTGCCACCGGAGACATGTGGCGGCTTCGAGGCAGGATGTGTCCCCCCCCGTCACACGGAAGACCACCTCTTTGGCCAACCCTACACAGCAGTAATCGCCGTAGAGTTGGTTAAAGTGTTAGATCAAGCCTGTTGTCCTTCTCGACAACGCGTACGCGGTGCGGTCATAAACTGTTTGACATGCAAGATAACATGGCGAGGAATTGTTCAGTCCACCGACAAGCCTCCGCAGCATCGTTATCCAGCCGCCCTTCCTCCCCACCTCGTGCAGACCTACACTATCTCCCTCGTTTTTCTCACACCACGGCTGCATGAGACCAACAGAGAGGCAACAAAGCATCAGACGAGGCTAATCCTCCGCGCGTCATGAGACCAACAGAGAGGAGGCAACAAAGAATCGGATCAGGCTCGTCCTCCTTCTCGCGTTCCCATTACCGCTTCCTCATCGAGTGTGGGCAGGCGAGTTCTTTTAAAGGAGGCATCTCGGCTTCAGAGCCTCCGACGACCACGCCATCACGCCGGGTCATCTGACTGACTGGCGAACGCAACGCCGTCACCGCATTTGGTTTTTACTCTCAAAAACGTTTACGCTGTCGGAATAGCGGTGCGACGTAGATGAGCTTGACGAGGATGCTGCTCAGTGGGTCCACGTGGAGCCTGCGCGTTCAAAAAAATTGACGCAGGTTGCAAGTGAAGCAAGTGTGCCAAGAGGAGGGTAGGAGGGACGGCCATGCTGCGGAGGTGCAATTAGTCGGCGAGGTAATTTGTTTACTCTCTGTTTCAGGCGTCTCGGACTGTTGTTGGTTTTCGGTTCTGTTGCCCGCGGCGTCGTTTTAGGCATCCCGAGTACTGTAGCTTGTTCCGTCGGACATGACCGAAGTCTTGCTATATCTTGGTTTTAGTCCTGTTTTTGTTTTATTGTTGCTCTTGCTATTGTGTCATCCACAACGATGTGATCATTCCAAAAGTTATGATGCCGCGATCGATGCAAAAGCCCGTCAAACAGTTCATCTACCTCATTGAGCAGTAGGTGACACCAGTGCTCTTCTCTCGTACACTCTCTCCGTGCTTGGATGCCGTTGTGTTGTTTTTTTCAGGGAGCCCGCTCTCTACTTTCTTCAGGCCGAACCGGAGGTGAGAACTCGGTCAAGCGTCGTTTGCCCTTCGCGACGAGCGAGTCCTAATCCTCCGCCGATGATAGCAACCACTTGTCGTTGCTAGATGCATCGCGACGAGCGAGTCCTAATCCTCCGCCGATGATAGCAACCAGCCGCCGACCGGTGAGCTTGAAGTGCCTGTCGACGTCACGCGCTGTGAAAAAATGTGTTGCTTTTCATTCAAGACTTTTTTCGATCGTTCGCAACGTACAAAGCCCCGCAGGCAACAACACCTGGAGAAGTCAGACCCAAGGCAAGGACCGTCACACTTACCGCTATGGCCGAAACCACTTTTCGAGTGGCTCTGGACAGAATCCTGCGAGGCCCCGAGGCCTCCGAGTTAGAGGGGTGAAACGGCGGCTGTCGGAGCTGTGGAAATGGGCCACGCCCTCATCATGCATGCTAGGCACCACTTCGGTTTGTGCGCCAGTGATGAGCTGTACATACCACACGCCAGTTTCTATCATTCTCCTTCATCGGGGACTGATTCTGTCACTTCCAAGGCCTGCACTTGGCGGGAAAGCCGGCCGCTTCCCCGAAAGAAGCAGTTGACTGCGCTAGGCGCCATGAAGCAGCTACAGTAGTTTTACTGTTCCGGAATGGGAGGAGTAACTCTTGACACGAAAACGGAGTCCCCCCAGTTATCCTCTGAACGTGATTCTAGCCTCGCCAGTTGCTTCATCATGAGCATGGTTTGGGAACGGAGGTCAGATAGCTGACCGCATCTCTTGACTCCCACCCCAGACTATCGTCATGATGAAGCAAATGATGGGTTTAGACTGCGCTTTGTTGTCAAGAGCTACTTCTCCCATTCCGCTTGATGGTGCCTAGCGCTGTCAACTGCTTCTTTCAGAGTAGTGACCGCCTTTGCCGCCAACTGCAGGGCTTGGAAGTGACAGAATCAGTCCACGAGGATAATGATAAAAATGGTGAAAGTGTGGTACAGCTCGTCGCCGGCGCTTAAGCCCGACGTTGGTTCATGGTTGATGGCGTCGTTGTCGTTATTGTCGCCATTACTCCAGCTTCTCAGGTTGCTGTTGTTGTTGTCGTCCATTTCGCTGTTGTTGCCGCGTTGATTTTGGTGTTTTTGCTCATGTTATTTCGCGTGCTACACCCCGGTCACGACGGAGAAGGCGGCGCAAGCGTTTTGCCGTCTGTTGAGGAGTGTGGCCGCTAGCATGAATCGGGTACATCTTCTTGTTGATAGGATGTGGGTTGGTCAGGAGGTATACCTTCTGACCCATACCGCCTTAGAATTGTCTACTCTGTTTACCCCCTGAGATGAAGTTGGATCCCCACTTCATCTCAGACCCTTGCTGATCGTCTCTCAGCAACAGCGAGTAACTTTTCCATCTCTACGTGGTCGTGGACAAGAGTGTGTCAACGACAGAACCTTCATCTATTTCTAGGAGCAAGCTACCGTCTACGGCTTCACCTCCTTTAAACTTGGCGTCAGCAGTAGGGTTAAACGACGTGCTTGCGTTGGCGGCGAAAACCAGACTGCACACGACCGACGACAACGTCACCCTCCATGAATATAAATCGCCGCCGCCGCCGATTGGGCGCTCTGGCGCCAGGCCCACTCGTTTACCGGATACTGGAGTGCCCCGTACATATGTGCCAATGCTGATGCGTCCGTGGGTCCTCCATGCATGCCATACCGCCGCGTCCTTTCGTCTCGGCGTTCATCGTACACAGCGATTGCTCGAGCGCTTCTACTGGTGGATTGGTTTGGATCGTTCCGTGCGCTGGTGGCTTCAGGCGTGTTTGGTGTGCCAAGCTCGCAAGACTTCACGTCAAACTGGTCGGTAGCCCGTCATCGCCATGCCATTACCGCACGGGCCCGGTACGGTCGTCGGCGTCGACTTCTTCGGACCTCTGCCAGTGACTACTAAGGGCAACTCCTACACACTGTTGTTCACAGACCGTTTCAGTCGGAGAGCAGACATGTTCGCTGTCACAGCGCCTGAATTTACGGCGAAAGGGACGGCTCACATGTTCGTCAACCAGTACATGACCAAGTAGGGATGTCCGACTACATTTTTGTTCGACAATGGACTGTATTTCTGCTCGAAGCTCTCCATGGCCATCTACGAGGTGATGAAAGTCAAGAAGGTCACCACCAGCCCCTACCACCCGCAGACCAATGGCGGCACCGACCGCGTCAATCACACGATGGCCCAGATGCTTGCGGTGGTCGTCAACGAACAGGAAAACGATTGGGACGTACATCTCCCGCACGTTGAGTTTGCCTACAATAATTCCGTGAACCAGTCTACTGGGTTGGCGCCAAACAAGATCCACATCGAACGCATCCCGCGACTTCCGCTTTCGGTCTTCGATCATCCCACGGTCGGTGGTCATCAAGGCTTGGCCCGCGATCAACTCGAGTATTGCAACCTAGCTGTCGATCGCCAGCGCCGGGCCTACGATCTTGTCCGTGAGTATAACGCTCTGAAGATTTCGCGAGTCGAACGCCGCAGTTCATCCCTGCTGGACGCCATCCACAATCTCCCTAAGTATACCGTTGGCGGGTGGGCTTGTGTGAACAACACGCCTGCTACGATTCGACAGGGTGTGCAATAGGACACGGACCAACAGGTGCTCAAGGCCAAATTCGCACTTTCCTGGACGGGGCCCTACAAAGTTCTTGCGGTGGGTCTCGCTTCTGCCGAAGTCCCCCCGGACGGCAGCCCGTTAGCGCGTAAACTCCTCTACCTGGACCTGCCTTCCGATCTTTCTGGCCCAGCGGCTCGATGTCGCGTGTCTGTCCTTCGTTGCAAGCCCTGTCGCAATCCATACGAAGCGAACGAGTTGCTACAATCTCTACCTGCCGATCTTTCGCGTTATGTTCTGCACTCTTTCGGAGATAAATGTCCACCGTTCAACGTAACCGCGGATGACGCGTCGGCGCCTGTCGGACGCCTAGAGGTTGACTACATCTCGGGGCATCAACTGGTGCGGGGCCGTAGCGGCGTTCTCGCTGTCCTGTACCAGACACATTGGTTAGGCCTGGCTATTCCTTCATGGGAACGGGAATCCGACCTCGATCAATTCCGTCGACACATCCTCTTGTACTGGTCCTGAGAGGTTCGGCAAAGCAAGCAAGGTAACCGCACTTATCGAGTGGCTTGGACTCGCGCGACACAGCGTGAGTTAGCCCGGACTCGTGTAGAACGCTATTTGCCTCCTGGGGCTGATCTTGTGCTTCACGAGGCTTGGCTTCGTCGTTTCAGCACTTCGCCCCTCCCTGTGGGCGCGTGGCTGTGGTACAAGTCCCGCGATGGCTTGCGGCGGACCGGACCCATTGGTGCTCATCAGGACGGCTTCTACATCGTTCGATTCTCGGACGACCCGGGCCCAAGTGTTCTCCCTCTGCTTGCGCACCTCTTCTCCACCGCCTTGGACGCCGTCTGTGGATCATGGTGTTTAGAGAAACATCGTTCACGCCCTCTGGGCGACACGCGTGGTCGCACTCCGCCCCTTGCTGACTCCTTGCCGTCGGCTGTTCCCACCGTTTCTTCTCAGCGTCGTCGTTTTCATATACCAATTGGCCTATTTTGTTTTTTTATGCCTTCCTTCTACGACTTTCTTCCCCCCTCCGTTTTTGTTATACATATATTTTTTTGTTTATTGTTCCGTTATTTTTACCTTGTCTCTTTCTTTTGTTTGCTTGTTTTGTGTTTGGACGTTGGGGAACACCGCGTCAAGCCATGGGGTGTCACGTGTTCGCCTCCGCGGCTCGTTACTTGAGAGCCCGGCGATGGCCTCCCCCTCTCGGTTGGTTGGTTTTCCCTGTCCATTTTCGGCAGTTCGAGAACCTTCCTTGTTGCCTGCATTCGTCTGAATCAGTAAACTGCCGCGACCTAGGTATACGCTCTATTTTGCCTTTTCCTTTTTGTTGTTGTTGGTCTTTTGGTTCTCGACGGGTTTCCTCTGAAGTTTCCTCGGTGTTATTTGCCTCTGAATACTTTGAAAAAGAGTTCCCCACGTTTCGTCGGTGCCTTTCGCCTCGGAACACTTGGAAACCGAGTTCCCCGCGTTTTCTTGGTTCGACTTTTTGCCAACTAATGTTTCTCTATTTTTTTTTAGCTCCATCGTGCCGCAGAAGTGTCACATACGCTTGTTACTTCGGGATTCCATACCGTTGCGTCGACTTCTCCCGTGGGCTTTCGTCGTCACCCACACTTCCTTCTACTTCGTCTCCATCATCGCCACGTTCGGGCGACGCCTTCATCACCGTCGAGCCCCTGAGTCGTCGTCTTGTTGTGGGTATCTCTAGACTTCGACTTTTTGCTTTCATGTCTCTGTACGTTGAGTATCGCCAGCGAAACATGGCGCGGTTCGTGAGACCGCTTCTCCGGCGTTGATCGTTTGTGCTTTGCGTCCTTAGTTCTCTTTAGGTCTTGCCTTTGCCGTCTCTTAATACGGTTTAGGTACCCTGGCACACTGGGAATCGTTCTCGGCGCTCTTGCCTGCCGTTCATTTCTCCTGCCCGTCCTTGACGTTGTATTAGATTGCGTTAAGTTTCCCTTTACGTCGCGTCCAGTATCAAAGGTTGTATCCGTTCGGAAATTTGTTTGGGTTTTGAGTTTCGTTGACGTATTTTGGACTCTTTCGTGATGTCACCCTCATTCCTCCAGTTGTGATACGCGCGGGTGCGCGTAAAGGCGTGGTGTGTGCGTTTAAACATTGATTTTGTATCCTCTGCCTTACCTGTTGGGGATAGCATGCTCTGCGGCGATATTCTTCCTAGCTTTATCCCTTTATTGGTATGAGCGTTGTCATTGAGATGTCGATGTTTCGTCTCCTGACCGTTCGCATCCTTCGTTTCAATGATGGTGTGGGGGGTTGGTTCGGGATATTTCTACAACTCACCCTCCATTGGGATGTTTTGTGAAGAGTCATACCTTCGATTCATGATCATAAATCATCACCTAAATAGCAGCTTGAAGGATATGAGTATAGAATCTGCATGTATGATATTCAGAGTGGGCTAGTTTAAAGGAGTGTGGCTGATAGCATGAATAGGGTACATCTTCTTGTTGATAGGATGTGAATTGGTCAGGAGGTATTCCTTCTGACCCATACCGCCTTAGAATTGTCTACTCTGTGTACCCCCTGAGATGAAGTTGGATCCCCACTTCATCTCAGACCCTTGCTGATCGTCTCTCAGCAATAAAAAGCAAATTTCCAATATCTACGTGGTCGTAGGCAAGAGTGTGTCAACGACAGAACCTTCATCTATCTCTAGGAGCAAGCTACCGTCTACGGCTTCGCCTCCTTTACACGTCCGTTCGCGGTTGCAGCTATCCGTGTTGAAAAGGGTTGTTTTGGCACGCAGGCAGCACCATCTATGGTTGCGCTTCTCACAACGACATCGAAATATACTTTTTCATCGCTAGCGGTTGATACCACCGTTGTCCCCCCTCCCCCATAGTATGGGCTACCAATGACGCGTGACGCATGGACGAGTGGAGTGAGAATAGCTGTTTACGGAAACCTCACGAGTTGAGTGATGTTGGATAGTGCCGGACACAAAGACGCTTTGAGTGAGGAAAGACACACACTGAAACTCACAGGTGATTTGTATTGGAGATTACTGGACACCTAGATGTGTTGAGTGAGGATAGCTGCATATTGAGACCTAACGGGTTGAGTGACGTTTGCGACTGCCGGACACATAGACGCATTGAGTGACGAAAGCTGTATACTGAAACCTCACAGGTTGATTTGTATTGGAGATTGCCGGACACACACACGTTTTGAGTGAGGATAGCTGCATATTGAGACCTAACGGGTTGAGTGACGTTTGCGACTGCCGGACACATAGACGCATTGAGTGACGAAAGCTGTATACTGAAACCTCACAGGTTGATTTGTATTGGAGATTGCCGGACACACACATAGACGCGTTGAGTAAGGATAGCTGTATACCGAAAATCCACAGTTGCTCTAGTGAGGGAACAATTCGAGAATGCAGTACACATAGACCCGACCCCCAACCCGTACCCGAACGCCCCCTGAAAAATAGAGGCCATGCGCCCCCCCCCCTCTCTACCTCCCCCAGAGGATGAGGAGGGTACAGTCCAAAGTAAGCACAAGCTTACCTAAGGTTAATGCCTATTGGTACGGCATTAAAATAAATACTAAAGTCCCCCATTGGGCGGTGGAGGACTTAGAGCTAAGACACCCCAAAACTCTCCGGCGTGAGATCCAAAATGGATCGAACGGTGGAGGGGGGGGGGGTGTTCGTTGCTTGAAGTGGATCGATAAAACATAGAGCCATCAAAGCAAAGCTTACTACTGACGTCGAGCAAGCTGAACGACCAGACCAACCACGCAAAAACTGCGGAGCTAGATGTGCGGCACGCACAATGCATTGTTTTCGATTGGAGAGAGGCGAGTATAAAGCAGTAAGGAATTGTTGGCCAAACTTTCGGCAGATAGGTCTACTCGGGAGCGTAAGTGGGGTAGCAACCCATGGTGGAGCGTACATGAGAAGCTGGACGTTGGTGTACGCCCCATCCCGGCGTGTGAGTAGGATCTTAGGCTATGCAAGTCGTCCCTGAACTTATTGTGGTGAAAATGACCTCCCAGGAGGAAAGTAGCCTGTACCGCGGGACTTCGGAGATGATAAATTGGGTGGTCGGGGGACGTCTGGGTGTTAACTAAGCAGAGCGCCCGGCACAAGACTGGGGTACTTGTGTCAGGAGGTGTGAACTTGGATCTAGACTACGAGCCTATGTTGGAGGCGCTATTTAGCGTCGGTGAGCCGGCAAAAGAACTGAAAGGAACCACAACCCCCGCCGGACACTCGGATTGGGAAGGCCGAGTATTCCGTATACCTTCCTGAAAAAACACGAAAAACAAGTGGCCACGGTCCAGTTGCCGTAGAGATCATGAGGATGGTGAAGAAGCTTGGAGGATGGAAGCAGAAACTGTGGAAGGGAGACAAGTTGGAGCTGCTGCTGTTTGGGATTCCAAGGGACATGACGAGGATAGAGTTCAAGAACTGTTGTGACAGGGAGGGACTGCACTGCCTAGCAAGGGGACAAGTAGGCAGAGAACATGAACACTTCCGGGTGAAATTGACCAAGGGAGACAGCCAAGAGTGCTTGGGGGTTGATATCGAGAAGCTGTCGAACTACGTAAGGAAGTTTGGATGGAGGGTTTGCATCGCGAACATGATAGAAACAGAGAAGGTAAGGAGACAAGAGGCGAGGGCGGCGGAGGCGAAGAAAGGACCGAGCAGGGCAGTCGAACAAGCAAGTCAGAAGAAGTCCGAGAAGAAGCGGAAGGCGAACGATGGTGTGCGCAAAATCTCCAATAGGGAAAAGCGCAAGCTGAGAGTCGGGTCGTGGAACGTGTGCGGGTTCGCAAGGAGTGAGCGCAAGCGGTTGGAAATAGTGGACCAAGTAGAACAAAGCGATCTAGATGTAGTGGGGATCCAAGAGACGTGGGAATTGAAGGATGGGGACGTGGTAAGCAAACTAGGGAAATACCGGTGGGTAGGGAAGGCAAGAAAGGGCTTAGACCCGAAGAAAAGGGGGGAGGGGGGAGTCGGATTCCTGGTCAAGGAACACTTGTTTGACGTGGTGGAAGTAGTGGTGAAAACGGAATTCGAGGAAAGCCTATGGCTAAAGATACCTGGGGAGCGGGGTGAGAAAGACTTGTTTCTAGGGAACGTATACGTCCCACCGTCGTCGAAGAAAGTCGCAAGCAAGGCGCAGGAGAACTTTGGACAAATTGGGGAAGATGTCCAGAGGTTCAGTAGGAAGGGAGAAGTTGTCATGGTGGGCGATTTCAACTCCAGAGTAGGGAAAGCTTCCAGTAGAGGACAGGCGATCGGGCAGCACGGAGAAGACAAAGTGAATGACAACGGAGTGAGGATGCTTGAATTCTTGGGAAGCAACGAACTGATGGTGTTGAACGGTAGGAGGGAATGCGATAAGCCGGAGTTCACAAGGCAACGGGCAGTTTGCAATGAATACTCAATCCTCGACTACATCCTGGTAGATAGGGGGAGCACGCAGATCCCAGAGCTGCACGTAAGTGCGATAGATATAGGTTCGACCGACCACTTCCTCATATGGGCAAACATCGACCGATCTAGAAAGATCAAGAGTAAGAAACAGAGGAAAGTGTTCCGGTGGAAGGTAGAGCGTTTGGGAGACGATGGGACACGGGATGAATTCCAGAAGGGGCTGGCTGGTAGTGTAGAATCCTTCAGGAAACTGCTGAGAAGCGTCGAAGACGGACAGGTAGACGTACAGGCAGCAGGGGACAGGGTGATTGAAGGGTGGGAGTCCATCGTGAACGCAACGGCAGAGAGAGTAGTGGGAAAGAAGGTGGTACGATGTGGGGTATCGGTTAAGTGGTGGGATGACGAGCTGAAAGAAGAAATAGGGGAACGTAGAGAAGTCTTCAAGCAGTACCTGAGTGAGGCGTCTGAGGAGAGTTGGGAAAAGTACAGGGCCAAGAGAAAACAGGTGAAGGGACTAGTGAAAAAGAAGAAAAAGTGTATTTGGGACGAAGTAGTGCAGAAGGCCAACGGAGGCCTGGAGGGAAACGTCAAGCAGATGTGGGAAGGGATTAGTGGAATGGTAAAAAAGACCGCGCAAGGGGGGGATACAGGGGTCGCAACTTTGCGAGGTGTGAACGGTGGATTAGTCAGCAGTGGGAAGGGAAAAAGGGAAGTTCTAGCAGGACACTACAAGAGACTTGGAGTGCCCTCGGAGAATGAAGCTTTTGACCAAGCGTTTAAGAAGGAGGTGGACGCATGGGCCCAAAAAGAAGAAGAGACATCGAAGGCAGACGTTGGGAACGTAGAACTAGAAAAGGAGTTCACTGAGGACGAGGTTGAGGCGTGTGTGAACAAGCTGAAGTGCCACAAAGCAGCAGGAGCGGATGGGATAGTCAACGAGTTCATGAAGTTTGGGGGGAAGGGGATGATCCAGCTGATGGTACTGCTATACAATTGGGTGTGGAAAAACGAGTATACGCCAAGTAGATGGAGGGAAGGAGTGGTTGTGAACTTGTTTAAGAAAGGAGACAAGACTGACCCAGGAAACTACAGGGGGATCACACTGTTGAACACAGTAGGAAAAGTGTTCTGTAAGCTGCTGAACGATAGGATAGTGGGAGTATTGGAGAAGGAACATAGCATTAGTGAGGGCCAGGCAGGTTTCCGCAAGAAGAGGGGGTGCGTAGACCACGTGTTCACGGTAGGGAGAATCATCCAAGGTAGAAAGAGGGCGGGAAAGCCGACGTACTGCTTCTTCCTGGACGTGAAAAAGGCATACGACACCGTGTGGAGAAATGGGTTGTGGAAACAACTGTCCAAATACGGGATCAAGGGGAAAATGTGGAGAGTGCTGAAGAAGATGACAGAGTGTACGAAAAGCGCGGTCATGCTAGACGGAGAACTGTCAAAATTCTTCGACATTGAGCAGGGGGTCCCACAAGGTTGCACGCTGTCCCCAACATTGTTCCAGGTGTTCATCAACGATCTGTTGGAAGTCGTAGAGGCAGTCCGGAAGGGAGTAAAAGTAGGGGACACGGAAACGTCGGTTTCAGGAATGCTGTTTGCGGATGATTTTGTCGGTATGTCGGACACCCCTGAGGGACTGCAACTGCAAATTGACGCGGCGAAGAAGTTTACTGATAAGTGGAGATTGTCTGCCAACGTTCAGAAGAGTGCCGTCATGGTATGCAACGAGAACAAGGAGGAACCAGTAGAACATAGATGGAAGTGGGGGATCGAGGAGATTGCAGTAGTGGACCAGTACACATACTTCGGAGTAGAGATCGCAAAAGACTGCTCGTGGAATGCACACATGTCCAAGGTAGCGGAAAAGGGCAAAGCACGAGCAGGGAAGCTGCACCCAATACTCGCAAACCGGCACCTCGATACACGCATCAAATTGACGGTTTTGAAGAGCGTAATCGTACCGCCGCTAGAGTACGCCGGAGAAGTATGGGAAGGAAATAAGAAGGTAGTGAAAGAACTCGAGGCGGCGCAGATGAAAGCAGCGAAAACCATCCTAGGATGCTCCAGGCGCACAAGTAATGCAGCCGTGAGGGCAGAATTGGGGATCCAATCCCTACGGTCGGGAAGAGACGCGAGGAAGCTGACCTGGCAGTATCGCATGTGCGGGATGGGAGAGGAGAGGTTGCCGAGAATTGTATGGGAGGCGAAGTGGGCAAACAAAAAGAGGGGTAGACAACCCACGGAATGGGTCAAGGTTGTAGAGGACGTATGGAAGGGGCTCGACATCGACGAAGATGAAACGCTGGAAACGGAGGGTCTACAGGGGTTCAAGGAGAAGATATCTGTTGCTTGTGCCGAGAGAGAAGAACAGAATCTGAGGAAAGAATCCAAGGATAAGGAGGGTCTAGAAGTGTACGGAATGTTGAAGGAAGGAATAGGGTTCAAGGACTACCTACATGGACCAATGGATGCAGGAACAAAGCTTAAGGTCAAATTCAGGACCGGGGACATAGGCCTTCGAGAACGTCGACGAAGACATAGGACGGTAGACGAGGAAGACGACGAGTTCAAATGTGATTGCGGCTTCGAATGCGAAGACCGTGTTCATGTAGTCGCGGAATGTCCGTTGTACAAGAAGGAGAGGGAAGTGTACGTGACTGAGCTGGGAAAAATAGATGGAACGTACAGGGAGATGTTTGAGGCATGGAATAGAGAGGAAAGGACGGTAGCTGTACTGGGGCATAGGAGGTGGGTTGAAAAGGCGGGAAGGGATATCGTTAGGATAGACAGACTAGGGAAGTCATTTTTGAGCCACCTTTGGCAAAGTAGAAAGGAACGATTGGCCATCGGTGATCGTTCCTGTGGGAGCAATGCTCCGTCCTCTCGAGGACGCGTGGTCAATGGTGTAACCGCTAAGGCATGCAAAACATAAGAGTACCCCCCCCCCTCCCCCTTAACCAGCCTGTGGCTGTTTTGGTCGATAGGAAAGGATCATTGGCTAGGTATTACGTGGGACTCGAGTTTTGACCTTCCAGAAAATAACACCCGGGCGAAGATTGAATATCAAGTTGATGCACGCAACGAGAGGTGACAACGCATTAGGCAAGAGGATCAGCTGGGGCAGCAAGTCGTTGTGTGCCAGCGAGTCTCGGGGCATTCGCTACTTCCTCGGTGAATCAAATAGGCCAGCGATTGCAAACTTGGCAGTTACAACATGTAAATTTCCTGGCAGTGGGTGGTTCGAAGAGAGACCACATTGCGATCGCAAAAGCCCTTGGTCGTGATTGTTTAGCAACTCAATAGTCACCACCTAATGATTGAAAACGTTTCAGAGAAGGACAATGCTACTGTGTGAAACGTTTGCGTACTAACGCTGTCGGATCCGGCTCTGGTCGTTTGTCCGATCGGACAACTTAGTGTGTGATGACGAAGAAACACGGGCACGGATAGTATTTGTCTTTGCGGTTCGTGAGTACGAGGAACGAATGCTTGACCGGACCCCCGTCAAGTGACGGACTTTACCCACTGTGAGGCGACGGTTCTTCGTCATTCATCGCCGCGTTCATTCGTGGAGTCCTTCGGCCATCAATACGAGCAGCAGCAAAACAATTTTCAAGTTTAATCGGTCGTTGTGAAAGCTGAACCTGGGACAGGTTTGGCGTTTCCCTCCGAGGTGGACTACGGTCCAGCTCATAGCGAAGACCAAACTCTTCACAGCATTTTGCGAACGATGGCTCCGGTATGCGACACTCGCCTACCACGCTGCTGGTGATCGGACGCCAAGTGTGTAAAGAGACAATATTGTTGGTTGTCATATTGTTCGTCCATGCCTTCGACGACTTCCATTCCCGAGTGCCTTTCTGTCAGCCAGTGGACCAACGAGTCTTCGCAACCTTGTTGCAATCGATTGCGAATACCCCCAGCTCCACTGTTAGAGTTGACTGCACTCGTTTCTCATCTTGTTCCTGATCACACGGACGGGTAGCATGCCGGTATTGATAGTCCTTCGATCCCCCCTCACGCTCCCTCCGCTCGTCACGGGCCTGATGATATCCTTACCTCTTCTCACCGTTAGCCTACCTCCCTCGCAGACGAAGAAGCAACTTGTCGATTGAATGAATTCATAAACCGTCGATGTACAACATAAGGATATGAGGATGGACTTCGGCGACTTCTATAGTCAATGACACGCTGTGCTCCACGACGATTCCGATACACACGGTAATTGCGCCTATCGCGTAGATCCTTGAAGTACGTACTCTAGAAATCAAGCGTCGTTCAGGGGCATGGTTAGGCTTCAACTTATCGAGTGTTGTGTGGTGATCCGGTGTCGTCTAAAACGTAGGATATCTTCCGTCGTGTGACGCCGGACAGAATGCTCTGCACCTACAATATACAGTCAGTGTCCTTTTATTATTAGCATCGACCGCGCTAATCAGTGTCAGTGTTATGCGGTCCACATATTAGTCTACTATCTATGTTTCGAACGTAAAGGTACAACAGTTAAATAGGTAGTATGTAGGAAGTGGTCTACAGCACAAGACAGAGTATGCAAGAAGACCGTACCAAAACAACAAAACAACCCCCGCAAGGAGAGATGATACGTAATAGATACAAAAAACATAAATACGCTTGAACATTAGCATCATGACTGCTTGCTGGGACCTCGAGAGCGCGTGGACTTTACAAGTGCGCAAAATCCAAGCCGGCGTCATTTATTTGTATGTCCATGTGTAAATAGATCCGCCTCAGCGAAAAATGGTGTCGGTCCCTATGATCTTCTCTAGACTAACAGAGATAGATTAGATAACCTTTGCATGCATAGACTATCGATAGTGTGTGGATATACAGCAGTCTACTGCTGCGCTGTCATAAAGATAAATAGGTGTTAAGATGATCCATAGCTATCTCACGATTGAGGCTTTCTGAATCCTTCTAGCGTCTATCAAGTTTGCAGCAGCGTCTCTCAGCACCCAGCCGCGCAGCCGCGGCCATAGACTATGTATGTATTGAAAAATTAGGGGGCACATGAAAAAAATGGAAAGCAACTCTAACGCCCCCCCACCCCTACATCCCCTGGTGTGCCCCCCCTTCAACGCATCATGTGCGGACAGAGAGAGGCAGGGGAGAGTTGCAGCTTTGGTGGATCGCTACCCTTGTGGAGTCAGGCAGAAGGGAACAAGCCTGGAGAAGGGCAGGGCGGTGGCCCGCAACAGGTGCGTGCGCCCCCGACCCGTGATTTAGCAGAAAAACGAAGATGGGGAGTTGCTCTCTTTTGCGATTTCTCTCTGAACCGCCGTGAGTCCAGTAGCCTTTGTTCGCAGCAAGCTCGATATTGTTGAAAGCCACGCCGCTCAGCTCAGGAGGTCTCGCCCCGCCCATATCTCCCGTACCTCCGCACGTGCCGGGATATCAATAGGAGCGATTGCCAGTCGGCTGTTGGCCGTTGCGAGAGGAAATTGTGAAACATGTTGTACAGAGTACCCTCTTGTTCCAGCTCTTTTCCACGCTGATGCCGCACCACGCAGCATTTTGAAAATTGCATGTGACAGACGGCAGTGCCACACAGAGTAGCAGCAGTAGGGAGGCGACGATGGTTGAGAGGGAGGCGACTGGATGGGAGAAACCTTGTGCAGCTACTGCTGGGGTCCGTTTGTGCGAAACGGTTGATGGTGCCCGGCGCGTACAACACCACGACAGGGAGCTTGGAGTGCACGTCTACGTCTCGAAGCTTTTTGTCGCAGGCTCTTGTTGTCACGAGCTAGAAGTCCCTTGCAGGCACCCCCGACAACCCTCGTACAACAACAATACATGCGGAAACGGCGGGACGTGGAAGCCATGTCAAGGCGGACGACAATGTGTTATTCCCTGAAAGACGTCGTGTCGGATGTATGAAATTCGAGCAGGAGGGTTATTTGCCATGTGTGTGGGTGCTCACATGAAGCCAGTTGACGCAGAAGGTTATCGTTTCGTCCTCATGAAGCAGGTTTGCCCCCCAGGAATATGATTTGTTCGTGTACACAACAGACGCCGTGCGTCGCATGATGTCGCTCCCCTCTTACTCTCCCGATCGATTCCAAAGCTGCTACGGGGTTGCTGCGTGCGATATCAGTACCGCTGCTGTTTCTTGTATTTGGCGTATGTAGGGCCCATGTACCCTCGTGTGCCTTGCCGACATCCCTACGGGACCGGCGGCAAATGCGTCCACGACCGAGTGCCTTTCATTATCGGCGGCAGCCAGGAAAGAGAGAAACCTAAACCAGTGCATAAGCATTTGTTTCCCTTGAAAGACGGCCAGACTTGACTCAAAAATTGCCACCACCGAATGGGGTGGTCGCTCTACTGCTCATCTCTGCCACACGACATTACTTTGCCGTTTGTGTCATGAAAACCGAAGCGACAGGATTTGGCGTCGGAGAGTATGTCACACCCAAGGCTTGACTCTAGACCTACTCCAGCCCTCTACGCAAAACGGATGTACTTCCGACAGGCTATTCTTCTCGCCCCCGGTCCGCCCGCCCGCCCCCACCAAACCACCACCCTTGTACCGCAGGTACACCAAGATTCGTCTCTCGGCGCAGCAAGGGGCTGCTCTGGCGTTGCTCTTGCTGCTCGCCGCCAGCACCCGGGGAACGAACCTTGTAGTTGCGTCCGTCGCGTCGGACCCGGCCCGCCGGAGGGTAGCAGTCTCGGCAGTCGCGGCAGCGGCGGCAGAAGCGGCGGCGGCGGCAGGGTCGGGGTCGACGCGGGGGGACGGTACCGCGAGAAGGGTCGTCGACGACACAGCGCGGCGGGCTTTTCGGGCGAGAGTTTCGACAACAACCGCCGGCGGAGCAGCAGCAGCAGCAGCAGCAGCAGCAAAGGGAACAGCACCGAAACAGCGGGGGCCGCGGGTAGGAGGAGAAGGAGCATCGTTGTCGAGAGCAGCAGCCAAAACGTTCCGCCACGCGACCACTCCCGCGGGGCGTCGCTCTTCGCGCCGCCTCCTCGCGTCATCCTGCTACAAGACCCCGGGGTTCGTCGCCCTCCGTCCCCTCGCTGGCGGGGCAGGAGGAGCGAACGATGGCCACGGACGGCGACAGAGCACGGCTGTTGTCGGCGAAGGCTGGAGAGGTCTACGCATCAGCGCCCCCGTCGCTCGATACTCGGTAGCGCAAGGCGCAGGGACCGGTGACAACGAGCGGCCGGGGGCCTCCGATTTCGTGGGGGGCGGGCGGGTGCTGACCGGGAGCGGCGCGGGGGCGGCAGACGGGGCGTGGGGGCGGCGGCGCGATTGGGATGATGTCATCGGGGGAGGGGGCTTGGCTCGCGGCGGCGGCGGCGGCGGCGGTCGGATCGCCAGGGGGCTGTCGTCGTATCGCTCGTCCACCATGTGCCAGCAGGCGTCAGCACTGCCGCAGACCGCGGAGCACATGTACCCGGCCTCGACGTACCCCGAGGAGGAGCAGCACGGGGTGGGGGCGCGGCGGCGGCGGCAGCAGCAGACACGGGGGATGGGGCACGAGAAAGCCCGGAGAGCCGCTGCGGTGGAACGGCAGCAGGAGGGGCGGCCAGCGGTCGGGGCGGGCGATGTGACGTCATCCGCCGCTGCCGTGAGGAACGGTATGCAGAACGGGCTGTGGGTGCAAAACAGCGACGCGGAGTCGGGTGCCGTGGTCGCGGAGTGGCAGCAGCGCGAGGGAGGGGTGGAAGGGGCGGTTAACGGCTGGGCTCCTGCGTCCTTTGCGGTGAGAGAAGGGTTTGTATGTTCACGATATGAGCAGGCGTAGGAGCAGTGACAAAGCGTGGAAGAACGCGCCTGTGTTTGTTGTGGTTGCTCGTGGTGGTGCCGGCGGTGTTATTGTTTTGTCACACGCGGAGGTCTCCGAAAATGCTAGCCCATGGCCGCCAGACACATGGCACTTGCTGCAAGCAGCCATTGGCTTGTCCGTGGACTGGTCCTGTTGAGTCCCTGGCGTCCAGGATGCCTCTGCCTCTCTGTGGTGCGGTGCAGCGAAGCGTAACAGCTGCGGCCTAAACCCCGAGTGAGTGGAATAGAATGCCGTGTCTGTGCCCCGGCTACAGAGTGAAAAAGAAGACGC